TATATATATATATATATATATATATATATATATATATGTGTGTGTGTGTGTGTGTGTGTGTGTGTAATGAGTCAACCTATTTGCTAAAAAATATTAACAAGAAAAGTCAACCAACATTTATTGCATTCTATTTTTGGCAGTTTTTGAATTTTTTTTTTTAAATTATTCCCAAAAATTTGATGAGTTATATATGCACCCTAAATTCATGGGTTTTGTGGATTTAATTTAAGTAATGAAAAAGTCAAGATTCTTTCACATTTTTAATTTAAAATAAAAATTATTACCATAAAATTGAGAGTTTCGAATTATTAAGAAAAAAATACTATCACATATACCTTTTACTAATTGCAATATATCAAATATTTATTAAAAAAATTGGATCGCGTAGAAGTCGGGCCCAATTTCAATTGAAAATAAAAATTTAAAAATCTCTTTTCTTTTAGCTACTACTTTCTTTAGTTCGGATTTTATTTATTAAAACATAAAACAATCATATAATATTAATTTGAAATTCAAAACGAAATCGGATTGGAACATGATAAAAATTTGGGTTATGTTTAATCCTCTAGAATACAAATTTGAAATTAGTTACATACACTTACAAAACATCATATATCCTGCTAAATAATTTAATTGATTATTTAAGCATATATAGAATGCTAATATAATTTGTAGCGATAGACGATGTACCAACAGACTAAACAAATAATGTTGTGTACGATGATGTGTTTAATATTATATAAGTTACATTTTGTTTTATTCCAATACATGTGCTTCCAATCATCCAAATATAAATGCTTACCTTATTAAAACTAGCTCGTGCATTGCACGGGTACCGCACTAGTCATTTAGGATAAGAATTACATAATATATATCTTATATATTTACTTACCATATATGGCACATACTTTAATGAGTTTGATTTTATGCCATAATTAGTTTTTTGTCTCTTGTAGGACAAGGAATAAGTTACAAAGATTGTGAAAGGATGAACAATTCGCGCATAAAGAATTTTGGACGTTCTAAAGAAGATCTAAGGAGGATTTGGAAAGATTCACCACAACGTCTTTGAAGATTTGGAAGATCGGTTATTTTAGGAAAGTCACGTTCTTACGTCAGACTGAGAACACAAGATTTCCATTGGAAGTTCAATTCTGAAGATCTCCAAATCACATACACGAATTCTATATCATGGAAAGTTAGTATAAATGAAGGATTTCGTCCAAATCAGAAAGGAATCATTTGAAAAGGAAATTGAATCCTAAAAGAAAAAATAGAAACTTGTGACTCCTTATCTTACGGAGATTGTATACAAGCCTACTTAAACAACCAATTGAAGAGAGATGCTGCAATAATCGTTCATCATTCATCATATTCAATTGAGTGTGAGAGTTTTTTATTCTTTTTATTTCGTTCGTCTTGGCACTTCAGCCTTCCTACATTGTTGACGAACTGAGTTTGTTTAGTTTGTTGTTTTTTTTCAAACAATTTTTGAGTGCTTACGGATTAAGTATTGGGTTTGCTCGAGGGATTCGAGTGTGTAAAGTCCACGGGACGTGGCCAGTGAAGTAGTTGATAGGATCAGGTATAGTGTTGGCTAGACTAGGAGGGAGCCCGAGTCGAGTAAGACCAAACTGTATTTTGTTAGATGCAAACCGATTTATCAATGAAAAAACTCTGAAGGGTAGTGAGACGCTCCCCGAAGACATACAATTTTTTTTATCGCTTCTGCTTTTGTAAATTTATTTTTCTGTATTGCAACACAATTTCATAATACAGAATTTATGTATTCTAACACAATCTGCGTACTCTATACTCCCCGACCTTCGTTTCAATATTAGAAGCCATCTCGAAAGGCATGTGTACACATTTCAATTAGCAAGTCATCATGTTTGGTAAAATTAATGTTTTAAAACCTAAATTCTTAAATCCGCTAAACTTCCAAATTAGACAACTTACAAGCATCCCTCCACAATCTTTTGAAAAATGATCGACATATTTAATAAGAGTACATTAGGGTTTACCTAGTCAATGAACACATTTAATAAGAAGCTTATTACCAATCAACCGAAAGAGAAAAGTAAACAAGACGCAATAAATACTCCATACAACGGTCAATGCCAAAACCTACAAGCTTGAGTCCACAGTCCACACTACGCTGGACCGCTAATCTCCTTTTAGGCAACCATAGTTTTTTATTAATAATAAATATATATATTTGTATAATGAAAAATTTTATTTTAATTTAAATTATGGTATATAGATGTAAATATATATTTAATTTAAGTTACAAAAATATGATCATTTAGCAGGTAGATTATTAATGCATCTTCCCAACAATTTTCATTTAGCCACTATTTTTTTTAGTCAACCACGGTATCCGGAGCTATGCCCCGACTAATTCGTTGGTCGACACGGGTCGCACATCTGGCAGTACTGGGTGAGTCTCCCAACAAGGGTTTTCTGTATCCACAAGGACTCGAACCCGAAATCTTGCTTAAGCGATATCAAGCTGCATAGCACAGGCAACCTTGGATTTAGCCACTGACATTGACCATTCCAAATATGCAATTTAATTTTCGTCCCACCTCAAAACCCCCAAAAAGCACTTTCAAATATTCACGCAAAAATGGCGTCCTCTCACCACCGCAGCCTCCTCCTCCTCCTCTTCATCCTTTCACTCTTCACTCTCCTTCCCCCCACCTTCTCTCTCCTCGCCGGTGAACTCACCGCCCTCCTCCGCCTCCGCGCCGCCGTCCGCGGCCGCACCCTCCTCTGGAACACCACTGCCGCCTCCCCCTGTTCCTGGGAAGGCGTGGCATGCGACAACGCCACTGGCCGCGTCGTCGCTCTCCGCCTCCCGGCCAACGGACTGACCGGCATAATTCCGGCGAACACGATCGGAAACCTTACGGAGCTCCAAACCCTCAGCCTCCGCCAGAACTCCCTCTCCGGAGAAATCCCTCCCGACATAGCCTCGTGCACACTGCTGCAGGACCTTCATCTCCAGGGGAACACGTTTTCCGGCGAGATCCCGTCGAGTTTTTTCACTCTGTCAAACCTAGCGCGCGTGAATTTAGCCGGGAACAACTTTTCCGGCATCTTATCACCGGAGTTCAACCGTTTGATCAATCTGAGGACTTTGTACTTGGAAAACAATCGCCTAACCGGCTCACTTCCCAATTTCGATGCTCTAATCAGGCTGAGAAATTTCAACGTGTCGTTTAACGGGATAACCGGCCCAATCCCCTTAGGTTTGGCCCGTTTTCCGGCCCAGTCCTTCCTCGGAAACCCCCTTTGCGGCCCACCTCTGTTATCTTGTCCAGACAACAATGGGAATACACTCTCGAATGGAGCCATAGCTGGCATCGCCGTAGGATCAACCTTTTTGGTGCTCTTGATTCTAATCATTTTCTTCTTCTCATGGAGAAAATACAGAAGCCGGAAAATCCTCCCGGGGGCAAATGCCTCCCCACTCGAGCGCAGAATCCCAAGCCCGACCCCGATTATATTTTGGGACGAAAATAGCCACTCGTCGGAGAAAAAAGATTCGAGCGAATCGCGTAAAACGGAGGAAATGAAGAGAGTGGGGGTTGACGGGCTGGTGTTTTTGGGCAAAAACGTGGAGACTTTTAGCTTGCAGGAGCTGCTTTCGGCATTGGCCGAGGTCTTGGGGCAGGGGACGGTGGGGTCCACATACAAGGCGTATTTCGACAGCGGAGTTGAAGTGATTGTGAAGAGGTTGAAGAATGTGTGTGTGGGTGAGGAGGAGTTTAGGAACAAAATTGAGGAGGTGGGATTAATGGTGCATGAAAATTTGGAGGGTGCTAAAGGCTACTTTTATGGTAGAGAGGAGAAGCTTCTTTTGTATGAACCCATGACTAATGGGAGTTTGTATGCACTTTTGCATGGTGAGCCCTTCTAATTCTTTTATGTGATACTAATAAAATCAAGTGACAGAGTATTATTTGGGGAAGAAGTTAAAATCCATTTTATTAGTTAGACAAAAGTAAAATTTAAAGCAAAATGAGGGAAATGAAGCAAGTATATATGCATTTTGAAATCCGACAGGTACCAACCAGCGGCCGCTATCGTTGGAAATCCGAGCGAAAATAGCGTTGGGGATTGCGTGCGGCATCAAGCACCTCCACACAGCAACAACAACACACGGCAATATCAGGTCGTCCAATGTGTTCCTAACCGACTACTACACTCCACGAGTATCCGAATATGGGGTGACCCAGCTTGTCCACCCGGCAGCAGGCCCCAATGGGTACCGAGCCCCAGAAGTGGTGGACCCGCGCAACGTTTCACGTGAAGCCGACGTCTTCAGCTTTGGAGTCCTGCTTCTTGAGATGCTGACGCGTAAGGAACCAGGCAGGGTTCTGGTGGAGGAAGGGGTCGAGCTGCCGGGCTGGGTGGGGTCCGTTGCGGAGGAGAATTGGCCTGCCGAGGTGTTTGATCCTGATTTGCTTAGGTATGGGGATGGTTTTAAGGAGGGACTAATGCTGCGGCTTTTGCGCCTCGCACTTACTTGCGCCGGCCAGAGTCCCGAGACGAGGCCGTTGATGGAAGAGGTTGTGAGAGAAATCGAGGGGGTTTGTGTCTCGAGCTTTTGAATCAACAGTTACAGGGTTCTTATTATTATAAATATGTACAAGTATATTGTGCAACGTCTTCATTGTGTTCCTCTTTTTGTTGGAATTTGTAACAATTTGTTGCAAAGTATAAAGCACGGGTTCAAGGACCCTTATTAGATGTCCGATATGGTATATTATACCAGTCCGAGAGCTCCAATAGCTCGAAGACAATTAGGTAGGATACAACTTAAAGCTTTGTTAAGACTGGACTAGCTCAAAAGGTTTATTAGTACTTCCAGTCCAAGCATAAAAACAAAGTAAATCGAAAGAAGTAAAACAATGTTGTTTGTTTAAAAAAAAAATTAACTTGACAACTTAAAAAAAAAAAAAAGACGGAAGCGATTATTTGAAATATGAATGAATTGCAATTGTTGTTGAACAAAACATTGCTCGTAAAAGAAAGAAACAAAATGAGATTGTTTGTTTTAAAAAAAATGAAATTACTTGACAGCTCGAAAAAAAAACAAAATGATTATTTGAAATAAGAACGGGTTGCAATTGGTCGAAAAAAAAAACGAGGTATTTTCGAAGAAGAACAAAATTCAACAAACATTGCTCGTAAAACAAAGAAGTAAAACGAGGTTGTTTAGTTTTTAAAAAACAAAAATAACTTGCCAACGGGAAAAAAAAAAGTGATTATTTGAAATAAGAACGACTTGCAATTATTGTCGGAAAAGACAAATGAAAACGAGGTATTTTCAAAGAAGGACGAACATTAACAAACATTGCTCATAAAAGAAAAAGTAAAACGAGATTGTTTGGTTAAAAAAAAACTGAAATAACTTGACAGCTCGAAAAAAAAAGAAGCAATTGTTGTCGAAGAAAAAAAAAATTAAAACGAGATATTTTCGAAGAAGAATGAACTTCAACAAACATTGCTCGTAAAAGAAAGAAGTATTTTTTTTTTACTTTTTCATATATATAATATTTTTTATATTCGAACTATACTTTTAATAATCAGTGGAAGATAAAAGTTTATTTTTCCTATTACTTCTATATTTTTTATATTATTTATTTATTTACAAAATAATTTGTTGAACAACCCGTATTGTCACTTCAAAATTAAAGGTTGATGCACTATCTAGAAGTGTGTGTCTTTTAATGCATCTATCTTATCATGATTTCACAATTTTTAATTTTTACTATTGCAAATTTGAGTGTTATGTTATTGTATCTATCTTATCGTGATAGCAATGTTATATTCAATTATCCACATGTATGCAAATTCTCAATTATAAAGCCATGGGTAGCTTTGTATAAGTCTAAAACATACATCTCTATTTTAGTGTATAAGTGGTAATGGATAGAAACCCAAATTTATCTCATTTCGATATGCCTAACTCTTCCGAGGACGATAGCCCATCTTCAGCAAATTCTCATTATCATAGGAGTACACCTCCCGTACTTGGACAATTTCCTGCAATGCAATCAATTGCAATCTCAATTTCAAAATTTTCCATATCGACCAATTCGTTTGTTTCCTTTATCCCAAACTTTAGAACATTATGCCTACCCTCAACAACCAGAAGCGATGAACATGAATCGGTCTTAGTATATGTAACGCCCCATTTATTTCAGTAAAAGCATAACATGTTGATTTGTGCATTTCATTTCATAGTTCGACTTTGTGTAATTTAAAATCCTCTCCAACAGGGGGATAATGATGTAGACGAGATATCGTCTGACATCATTAATTTATGATATATATTTATTTCTTTTTATTATTGGTCCTTTTATTATTATTTCTCTTATGTTTAGTATTTAATTAGTAAGAAAATAATTATTAGTCGTATTATTGATATTAAAATATTTAGTATGAGATATTAAACAAGATTAAGAGCATGTTTGTTTATAGATTTTTTCAAAAAATTTCTCACATTTTAACTCAACCACTTTTTTTAACTCAACTTTAACTCAACCCACTATCATCAATTATTATTAATATAATTAAATAATATCAATCAATCATTCTTACACACCACATCAACCTTAATTCACTATTCATCCACTCACATTATTTTAACTAACCATCACATCAAACCATCTCTCTCCTACTTTTATATCAAATTATTTTAATTATTTTATTTTAAATATTATTTTAATATATCCACTAACAACTAACCATACTACCTTTTTCAAAATTAACCAAATCAAACCAAAAAATCCAAACAAAATAAAAAATTTCTATAAACAAACATGCTCTAAAGTTTTGAAACATTATTTAAAGGACTCCTCGTGTTTTTCAGTTTTTTAGGGGAAATGCTACGGTCTCGTTACGGAACCATTTCGTCAGGGTTTGTAACCGTTTGATCATCATCTAACTGGCGGACTAACTTGCAGGGATACTTGATCTAACGGTTATAAACCTCAAATGAACCGTTTCATACCGTAGTATTTTCCTTTAATTACAAGGTTTTTCTTTTCTTCTCTTTGGTTTTTTTTTTTTTTTTTTCGTTGCATTGGTCAACGATGACCAATTACACGCACAGAGAAGGCACACAACATTTTCCAAAATTGAAATATGTTCTATAGCAAATTTCCCCGAAATTCTGTTACCTTAATAAATATACATACCCTTCCCTCCAAATCCTCTGCCATCATCAATATTTTCAGATCTTAACACAACTGCTGAATCTATAACTTGCCTCAGTTTTCTCATATTCGTCTTGGAAGCCAAGAAATCTGCCAAACCGCACAAACTTTCATCTTCAATCGGCCGCTGCAAGGTTCCATTGAAGTTCTTCTGTTGTCTGCTCAATCGGAGACGATAGAAATGGACGAAGTCAGAGATAAAATGAAGGGTCTGATGAAGAAAGTCAACAAGCCGTTCTCCAATTCAACGTCGGGAAAATTCAAGGGCCAGGGAAGAGTCTTGGGATCTTCGTCGTCTTCTTCAACCGCTCACTCCCACCCATTATCGTCTTCATCGTCTTTGCTTAATCCCAAGCCTTTACCCGCCAAGCCTTCGCCTCCGCCTCCGCCTCCGCCTCAAAAGGTTAGCGATGTATATCAGCAGAAATCTCAGACAAGAAACCTCGAGAAACCGCCGAAATCGGAATCAAGCGAGAAGCCCGACAACAAATTTGATCCGTTCAGTTCACTGATTACTTCCGGTAAGCGGAACCCTAATGGGTATTCTTTGCAAGTGTTTGAGTGCCCGGTCTGTGGTGAAGCGTACACCTCGGAGGAGGAGGTTTCTGTCCACATCGAATCTTGTTTGAGTACGGTGAATTCTGAAAACGAAACTTGCACTAAAAGATCGGACGGGCTTGAGAATCAACTGGAGACCTGTGTGAGTTCTTATATATCCGGGAAGCCGAGCGATGGTTCGAAGGAGGTTGTGTTTAGACTTTTGAAGAATGTGGTGAAAGAGCCGGATAATGCAAAGTTTAGGAAGATAAGAATGGGAAATCCAAAGATAAAAGAGGCGGTTGGGGATGCTCCTGGGGGGATAGAGTTACTAGAGTGTGTTGGGTTTGATCTTAGAGAGGAAAATGGGGAAATGTGGCTCGTTATGGATGATCCTTGTAGAGAGCATCTCGGGTTGGTTGAAACCGTGATATCATTGCTAGACCCAAACAGTGTTAAAGAGTTGCCGCCGGTTGCTGTAAAGAAGGTAGAACAGTTGTTGGTTGCTCCAGCTAAGGTTGAGGAAGAAACTATTGAGCCGAAGCAAGTTGACCGACAGGTATATATTGTCTCTGTTCATCACTGATATTTTTGGCCTAGACAGGTTCTCATTTTAAGCTAGCTGTTTGTTAACTATTGTAATTTATATCATGAGTTTCTCGGTTTTAAAGATAAATGGCCGGTGAGTCTTTTTTCTTTTTTTTTTTTTCTTCTTATTTTTACTATTGGTTGGTTGCATTCAGGTTGATTAGGATTAAATGCCTGCAGATTGGTATATCATGTGGGTATTTGTTGCATGGATGCAGAATCTATCTTCTGTTAATCAGATGAACAATTGTGTTATATTTACATAGATGGCAATAGTTTTCTTTGTCCTAGAACATAATAGAAAAGTACAACAGAATTAGGTCCAAAGTGTAGTGAAACAACTTCAAAGAAGTATTTTCATTCATCAGTTCACACATTATAGAGCTATTTGTTTGTCATTTTTTGTTTAATGTACTACATAGCTAACTGGGAAACTGTTGTAGACTTGTCTTCTTTTGATCAAATATTGAGCCTGTGATGGGCGCATCGGTAGCATGCATCTAAAATGCCTGTAGCTGTTTTTTTTTTTTTTTTTTTTTTTTTTTTTTTTTTTTTTTTGTGATTTTCCTTCCTTGTATTACTAGAATGTGTGCTGCCATGATAAGACAGAATCTTTAAAGAACATGAAAAGTGAAGAGCTACATTTTCTGCTCGTTCACATGAGCATTCAATAGCCAAGTTAATGTCTACTTCCTTGAGCTGTGCTAGAGCCCTGCGTCACTGATATGATATGAAGGAAATGTCTGTTCCGTTTCTTTGTATTTAAGAGAGAATAGAGTTTGAAAATTAGGAAAGAGGATAAGAGTTATTGAATATGATGGAAGTGCAACAATGGTTGTATATGTGATGGTTTTCTGAGACAAGATGGTAATTAGAGAAAAGTGATTAGTGAACTGTTTTGAGGCGAATTAAGTATATTTATGGCAGTTGATATGATGTGTTATTTAGTGGTATTTTATTGAATTACATTGACGGTTGAAAAATATCAAACTGGTTTCATAGTACATTAATGGATAGAAGTTTTTAAGTAAGTGATTTTTGTGGGAGTGGGTCTATTTCTAAGATGGTATTCACTATAGTTCCCATGAGCTAGTACAGTGTAATTTAGTTTTTTCTCTTTCCCTTTTTAAAAAGGCATCCAGTGTGTTTAGAAATGTTAATCTAAATTATGTAAGTTACCTCTTGCGTTCTCCACTTTATTTTTTTTTAAGTACTTCACCGTTAGTATTTGTGTTTTGATTTGAAAACACTAACCTATTAGGGTCATGTAAAATGACATGGCCTAATTTCCCTTTATTTCTGAGATTAGAAGAATCACCCTGCTCATTCTTCTAAAATTTCAGGTTGTATGTTGAATATTTTATTCTTTAAGCAAGAAAAAGCTGACTAGCATATAAATGGGAAAAGTATTGAAACATGTGATTCCTTGCTGTAACATCATCCTATTGTTAATTTCATTTCAATATTTCGTGGATATTTTGAGTTTCATGATTTTCTTATGATTGTGTTAGCTTTTATTTGACGGATAACTATCAAAAGGTGTTGTGTGAGTATTTTATTGATCAACGCACAGTCTCATCTCGTTGCACTATAGTCTTCTCAAGTTGTGCAATTCCTCAGAATGTCTTTGCAGGGTTTCTAATGAATGTGAAACTGGTTGTAGATGCTCTGGAATAGCTTCATTAAGGATATAAATCGACAAAACTCATAAAAATAGACATATGTTTCTAATGGTTGTTCTAGAGTAACAAAAATGTCATGTTTTATGATGCAATCTAAAAATGCATTTCAATGATGTGGAACGAAAGCAATTGTTTGACCATATCAATTCCGTTGCTTCACTATTTTCACTGATGAAATCCCAAAAATATTTGCATCTTTTACTCTGTAACAGGCAAGGGAAATGTCAAGTCATTTTATTTGTCCACCTTCAGATCTGTGTTTAGTTTGTGAGCTAGCGGTTTTTGGAATCTCGATGTCATTGAAAGTAATGGAGTCAAGAAAGATATTATCATAAGTGCCTAAAATCTTTTCAATACAGCGTATGTTTTCAAATATGCGTCTATGGGAAGAATCAACCTTTCCAATTGTGATTACTGGATGCTGTATGAAATGTTTGGAATGCTCCAAGAAATTATTGTTTCTTCAGTATTCTTTTATTGTTGTCTCTTTTGGAAGTTAAGCTTGGATTTATAATTTATGTTTATGGTTGGAAAGTTACCAATGCTTGTACATATTCTTTAATGTAGCGTTCGCGTTCACCGTATTAAGTTTTCTGCCTTTGAAATTTTCCTTCTTTTTTTGTTCTTTTCTTATATTTTCCTGAACCTTCAAGGTTTCTTCTCTTTATATTCGTTTGTCCTTTTTCATTTTTTTGTCTAAATGAATTTAGATTCGAGTTTTCTTCTCTGTTCCTGAGAGTGTCGCTGCAAAGATCGAGCTGCCTGATTCTTTCTATAACCTTACGGCTGAAGAACTGAAAAGGGAAACTGATACAAGAAAGAAGAAGTTGGAAGAATCTAAGCTTCTAATTCCCAAGTCCTACAGAGAAAAACAGGCAAAAGCTGCAAAAAAACGTTATAAGAAGACTGTGATTAGAATACAGTTTCCTGATGGTGTAGTACTTCAAGCTATCTTTTCACCATGTGAGTCTACTGGAGCTATCTATGAGGTTAGTCTCGTAACCACACAGTTCTTGTTTAATCGCGTTAAAAAAGAAAGGAAAAAAAAAAACTTTTGTAGCATGTTTTTTAATGAGAGGCAACCCCAAAGCACCCAATGATATCCTAGACAACAAAATCCAAAAATACACGTTATATTTATCCTAATTTCTAAAAAATAATATAAAAATATTAAGCCATATCAAATGAAAAGAAAAAAAAAAAATGATTCTTTAATAAGTATTAACTATGATTATTGGTACCCTGAGAATGGAATTACCTTCATTGTGGGGTTTTACTTTAACACTTGGAAGGGCCCTAAAAATTCATTGTTTAATATGAATGTACTGCACGATGATCATCGTTTTATATAATACTTGAATTATTATTATTATACAAATTTCAAATGAGTTGAAGAGATTAAGGTGCTTTTAGGTACCAGTGATGCTTCCAGAGAGAGATGTCTGTCTCCAACTTTGTCTTGCGTTTCATATACCTATTTACTAAGAAGTATATATATCTCAGCTTCTACAATCTTCATAGCTCTTAAATAGCTTTAGTGGATTTCACTAATTTGTCATACTTTTTTGGTTCTATTTATTATTGAACGTTAAAAATTTGTGAACAGTTAGCTAAGTCTACTTCTCACCGAGTCATTTTATGAATTTCAAAATCTTTTCCTCTGATTCAAACAACAGTCTTTCTGAGTATTCGGTAATGTTGAGGGAAAAGTTGGTTAATCCTTGCTATTTAAGTAATTCTCAGAAAGACACGATATTCTTCATGAAAATTTTACCTCCTGCATTTTCTTAGACCTTAATTCTAGAAATACATGATTCTTTCGGTATGAGGTACTTGAATTTCTTACACAACACTTTCTTATAAACCGTAAAGTTGTGACAGAAATATGACTTTCATAACTTTTAATAACTTGCATAATTCTTCTTGTAACCGTGTTGCTTTGTAATGGCCTGAATAACTTGAATAATTTTGATTTTGTTAGTTTGTAAGCAATGCACTGAAAGACCCAAGCCTGGAGTTCAACCTTCAACATCCTGATCTAATCAAGCGTCGATTGATCCGTCGTTTTCCCACAAGTGGGGAAAAAGCACCGACACTTGAGGATGAGGATTTGGTGCCCACGGCCCTTATTAAGTTCAGGCCAATTGAGACAGATGATGTTGTTTTTACGGGCCTGCGTAATGAGCTTCTTGAAATAAGTGAACCCCTCGTGTCTGGTTCAGCTGTTCCTTCGTCTTAATCGAGCTCGGGTCGAGTCAACCTTTGGAGTGTGAAAATCCTACTGAAAATAATCAACTCTTGTTCTGAAATTTTTGATATGATGCATGTTATGACATAACATTTCACAATCAGGGCCAGGAAATATTAATGTGGGCCCCGCTTTACAACAGTCTGGTGTTGCATATAGTTATGACTTGAGAATCAGTTTTTACGGTTGAGTTTGGCTTTGGATGGTGAAAATTGAAAAGCATTATCTGTTGCACATTTTTTTTTTCTGTTATTTTAGCTTTTATCAATTTTTTTTTAATGTTTCTGTGTCTTCGTCCAGGTTTAGCTGCATATGCTTTTTTTTTTTTTTTTTNNNNTTAAGAACGATAGAAATTTTATAGAAAAAATACATATGTAATTAGAGACAACTCGACAACTGAATAAGACAACTTCTGAGCCGAATTTAGCGGGAGGACAAATTCGAAGATCGCCTACAAGCTAACAAATAGCACACAACACACCCACCAACAAATAACATAAACTAAAACTAATTTAAGAAGTTCCACAACTAGAGAATAAAAAGCTACCTTACGGGAGAATACACACTCCCCAACGGGAGAAAACACCAACACAAACGCACCACAAAAAAGAGACACCACAACGCAAAACCTACACTCACCAAGACACAGTAAAAACCACTCCGCCACAGCACCTCGAGAGACGACTGACCTTCACCCTAATTGGTAACCATCAAACGGGCGAAGACCAATCAGGGCCGATCACCGACTTATTAAGCACCAAGCAGCGAAGAGGAAGACCAACAGAAAACACACGAATAAACATAATGACAGAATAAAAAACAAATCACCAAATAGAGCCCTCCTCCACAACAAGAAAACAACTCCACGAAACCACGCTACCACCATCGAGAGCATCCACCCAAACAAAGAGAAGATTGAGCCAGAGCACAAAGACCTGAAACTGTAGAAAACGCATAACAAGATTCGATACTCTCACCTCGAAAACTCACCAAGGTAGTCACCCACGCACCAAGTCAGCCCCAAACTTGCACAAACCCACCGACTGGAAGCTAGAAGCCTGCAGACAACCCGAGCCCTCAATTGTCACCACTGATGAAAGCCCGTCGCCCAGCACCAGGAACAACGGGAATACCAAGGGCAGCAGGGCACCAATGGAACCCCAAGCACACACTCCCTCGACAACCACCGACGGCTTCAGTCAAGCAGCCACAGGCAACGCTCTCCACTCTCGGCCCGACCTTACCAAATGCAGACTTTTGTCGTCCGTTAGCTACATATGCTTGGATATAAGTTTTTTTTTTTTT